GGGAGAATTTGTGTGGGGAGTGCTCTGTCACGCCTCGAACAGTTCTCTGTTCCTGGCGAGGTGAGAGATTCTCATACTTCAGTAAATGTGCTGGGCAGCGGTGGGAAGGTCTGCATCCTCCCCCCAGTTACTGATCGGTATGCAGATGCACAAGTATTGATAACCTCTGTTTTGCATCCGTAATCACAACAGTTATTTCCAGGTACAGGTTATGGGCTTGCTTTTGCCAAATTGTCATATATACAGTGTCAAATTGAAACTTCCCGATGGAGGCATTTTTTATTAAATATAGACTAGGACCTTCAAGCTTGCAGATTTGTCATGTGGTTTAGGAAAGATTCTAGTCAGAGCTCCCACCATGGGCTGAAGATCTCAGCCTCTGTTTTCAGACCTGGCAGTGAAGGAGTAGCCTGAATCCCAGTTAAACATAATCATAAAAGACCTTTAGGATGAGGTCCAACCGTAAACTCACACTGCCAAGTCCACCACTAAACCGTGTCCCTAAGGGCCATGTCTACCTGTCTTAAATACCTCCAGGGATGGTGACTCAGCCACTTCCTGGGCAGCCTGTGCCGATGCTTGACAGCCCTTTTGGAGTTAATGTGTCCAAGGAGATGAATTATCTCATAAACCTAGCAATATGTAAAACATATATACATAACTCATTAACCACAAACAAATCTGCAACTGAAATGATGATGAGCACAAAAGCAACAGATATTAAGGCAAGAAGCACAGGATGAGCAACACTGGTGTATTGGGTTTGCCTGGCAAGGTTTTGGTAGTGGGGGGCTATAGGGGTGGCTCCTGTGAGAAGCTGCCAGAAGCTTCCCTGTGTCCAACAGCCGATGCCGGCCAGCTCCAGGATGAACCTGCTGCTGGCCAGGTGTTTTGCTGATTAGGGATATCAATTAAACTCAGACACCAGAGTGAAAGGAGCGGGTGTATTTTACTAGAAATAATAATATAACAGGATAATACAGAAAACATACAGTAAGAAAAGACAGAATAGTTCACTTAAATAGGAAAATACAGAGTAATGCATCAAATCATTACTACCTGAGAGAGAGAATAGTGATTAAGAAAGATCCATCACCACTTGCATACGTTAACATCATCCAGACCTGCAGCCACTGGGGAGCCCCGCTACAGTGAGGATTTGGAGAACCTTTCCCGGCCCGACGGCCCCTTCCCTTGCGGCCGGGCCGGGCCGGGGCTGGAAGAGTGCTAGCGCCCGTTACCCACCGGTCCTCCGCGGTGTGCGGCCGTTTCCTTCCGGCCTCCCGGGCTGCTGGTTGTTTCTTCTTACTGTAACAGCTTCAGGCTGTTGGAAACGATAACAGGTATCCGTCTTAAAATGGTTGGGTGCTGGGTGCGGCACGCTGGGCTCACTGACTGTGTCTTGCCTTACAGGAGACTCAATGAGAGAGAGAGAATTGGAGAACTGGGAGCACCTGAAGTCTGGGGACTGTCACCAAAGGTTCCTGACCCCGAGTAAGGCATATTCTTGCTTCTTTCCTTCTGTTTTTTATGCCCGTGATAATATGTGTGTTTAATTTACAAACATGTCTTATGCCCTACAAAGATGTTTTATGCCTTACAAAAACGTTCCTTTACCACAGCTCACGTTGTGTCAGTTCACTTCTAAATCAACACAATGAGATTATTACATTTTTTTCCCCAAAAATAATTCCAAGTTACCAGTTATGCAAGATATGATTTATTGTAGATCAGGTGACCTTTGTGTTGTTCTGAAAGCAATTCCTATGCTGCAAGTTAGCTGTTTAATAGTTTATTGCACGTATTGACTCAAAATCTGCAAGCGTTTGGTCATATGCATACCTTTGATCTTGAATACTACAAAATAGTTTTAAATACCACACTTGTATTTTTATTCAGTTCTGATGAGCATACACCAGTAGAAGATGAAGAGGCAAAATCTAAGAGTAGTTCTTCAGATTCCAGCTCAGAAGGTATTTTGTGTTGCTTACACAGCTTGGTTTTGCAAATGGAAAGCTGCCAAAGTCCAGAACCTGCTCTTGTCGCTTGCAAGAGGTTCACTGACTTTGATGGGTGGAGGTGTGTGTGGTGGGCTCCAGCTCAAAGGACAGTGTTGCCTTGGGAAGGTACATGTGGAGCTCGATGATCTTTGTCTGTTCTCGAATGTTATCTTTTAAAAACATTCTAGAGGAAAAAAAGAAGAAGAAGAAGAAAAGAAAGAAGAAAAAGCGCAAGGTATCTAAAAGAAAACGCAGAAAACATTCTGAGGACAGTGACAGCGAGTCGGAGTCTGAGCAGAACTCCAGCGGTAAGAAAAGAGGGTTTTGGCCAACGTGCGTGGTGTGAGAGCTCTCCTTTTGCTCCTCTGAATGCAAAGCAACACTTCTGGATTTTGTTATGCATTTGCAGTGTCCTGAAATTATAGAGCTGCAGCATCCATTGGTGTTCTTTCCTTTCACCATCTTGCTGCCTTTGCAGTGCCTTTTCTTCGAGTGCTTATGGGCTGGCGTCAGGAAATAGGATTTTTGAATTTAGCATCCATTGGGTGTCTTATGCCAGAGATGTGTTCAGTGTATTTTCATATTGAACAGTACTGCAGGTAGTGTTCTGCTAATACTTTCTCAGTATTATTTTGTACCTAAAAATATCATGTCTGAGAAGCTGTGTACTAAGGCATTCTGGTGGGAGAAATTCACTGTGCAGTAAACTCCTTAGTTAATCATCTCTTTCATATATATACTTTCTCTTTTTCAGATGAAGATAAAAAGAAAAGCAAGAAGAAGAAAAAGAAGAACAGAAAGTAAGTTCCCAGGTGGCTGTGTGTAATTCTACCTGCTTTTGACCAGAGGGCAGCACCATTTTCTTAGCAGGTGGTGAGGAAGGCTGAGCACTCTTGTAATTAGGGCTATAATTGCTGTCAACTAATCTTAATTTGTTGGGTTTTCTTTAAATCTATAGAACCATGCAGTATAGAGTACTCACTGTGAATGTAGGGTGCCACTTTCAAATGTTATATGAAAGATATAACAGTGTGTATATTGTCTTTGTTTTGCTGTAAGGCTTTTGATATGAATCAACAACAATCTGTATGCAGTCTTACCATAGGTGGAAGTTGCCTTGAGAAACTAATGGCTTGAGTAAGATTCCAAGCACTTTCTGTCATCTTAAATTTTGGTAAATAGTATGTCTATCTTTATCACAGGAAGAAGTATAAGAAGAAGAAAAATAAGAAGAGCAGGAAGGAATCCAGTGATTCAAGTAGTGAAGATTCTGATGATGAAACATTTCAAGGGGAAGATCTCTGGATTGAGAGATCAAGTAGGTTCCCCTGACTTTAAACTTGGATTGAAACTTCTTGGTGTCCTTTGTGTGAATTCTTTGTTAGGTGTTGCTGACCTGTGTAACTGTTCTGATAACAAAGAATAACGGGCACAATGTTAATCTTTCTCATTATTTGATTGTTGTAGAAAATACAGAAGCTGATAGCTTGATTGGACCAGAAGCTCCCAAAACTCATGCATCTCAGGATGATAGGCCTTTGAAGTGAGTAGCCAGCTCTAACAGTACTTTGATCAAATCAAGCCTGAAGGTTACTGTTCAGAAGGGCTGTTATAACAATATGGCACGCATCAGAGAGAAATGCTATGCCAGAAACTCAGACAGAAGTGGTAGTGCTGCTAGCCTTTACGCTGGCCTGAATTCAGGTAGAAGAGTCTGGTTTATGCTTTTTAGCCTTATTCCTAGAAAATCAATTGTTAGATGCCTTTATTCTAATGCTCAGCAGTATAGTGTTTTCATTACTGTTTCATCAGAATGGATTCAACTGGTAATTTAAGATGCTGTTGCTAGTGTTAGCCATAAGGAGGAAACAGACCAATATGTGGGAAAGAATAAGGAAGTGATTAAAAATGCAGCTGTAGCAAGTAATGAACAGAGAGGCTGGATATTTAGCTCAGGCGCTCTCTCCATCTGAGACTGATCAAAATCACCACTTCTGTGTTTTTATGAAGCTATGGACATGCCCTCTTGCCTGGTGAAGGTGCAGCAATGGCAGAGTACGTAAAAGCAGGAAAACGTATACCCCGGAGAGGTGAAATCGGCTTGACCAGTGAAGAGATTGCGTCGTTTGAGAGCTCTGGTTATGTCATGAGTGGCAGCAGGTATGGTTTTGATGGTGGTAATGGTTCGATGACATTTTTCAGAGCTGCTTCCTCTGTTGGCCTGTTGGAAGACTGCTTCTGAGTTCTAGTTGAAAACATGGAAAAGAAGGTGCTCTGTGTGCTTGCAATAATCTACTCTAAACTCCCTATTGCTATAGATAGATGGAGAGGTTTTTTAAGGACACTTTCTCCTCCAAGACTAAAAATTCTTTCCAGGTAATACACTTCTAATGATCTTGTATTTCAAATGAGGAGGTGCTTGTGTCGGGTGGCTCCAAGGTGACGTGTTTGGACAGCACTTGTGGTGTGCTAGCTCTTCAGTAGGAGACAGATCAAATTGTGAGAGGTTGGCTGTACTTTTCTCTTGTGAGTCCAACAGGAATTTCACTTAAGTTTTGGTGAGCCAGCAGCTGACACTCTGGGGGCAGATGGGCCTTCTGGCTGACTGCCTGAGAGCAGACATCCCCAGAAGTCTGTATGTTGCTCTGCCATGCTCCTTCCTGGGAAGATTTGTGTGCAGTTTGGGTCCTCTAGTGTAGGTATCTCTATAAGCCCCTCAAAACATTCAGGCCAGTTGATGGGTGGAAGCTGTGATGGGGCATTACATCCCTCTGCCCGTGCTGATGTACACAATGTTCTCCTCTGCAGACATCGCCGTATGGAAGCTGTGCGTCTGCGTAAAGAGAACCAGATTTACAGCGCAGATGAAAAGAGAGCTCTGGCGTCCTTCAACCAGGAGGAGAGGAGGAAACGAGAGAATAAGATCCTTGCAAGCTTTCGAGAGATGGTCTACAGAAAGACTAAGGGCAAAGAGGAAAAATAATTCTTTCTTTGAACTGTACACCATAGATTCTACCAAGCAGCAGCTCCCCTGTTCTAGTCATGATTTGAAAAAAGCTGCAAGTGCCGCAGTGCTTTTCACCCAACAGGGCTGAGCCTCAGGAGTGGATTACTTGTATCAAAGAGACAGAGTTTCTTTTGTCGCATTTTCCTGGGTAAGGTGTTCACCATCTACAAGGAATCCCTGTAAAGTGAAAGGCTGCAAGGAAGGGAGGGCAGGAACAGGCAGGGAAGATTAGACGAGGCAATGTTCTGTGCTTGCTTTGACTAGGACAAGCAGGATTCCCTGTGAGGGCTTTGTTACCTGATGCTGATAAGTGCAATTTTCCATTTATTTTGGTTAATGAGAGTAGACTGGTGATCAGAAGAAAGCTACTAGTAACAGTAGCAAAAATGAAGGAACTCTGAAGTTCCTGTTTTAAGATCTAAGACTGTCCACTTAGGTATTTTTTCTTAAGTCTTTTAGATTTATTTTTTTCTCAAAACTGTTGAGTTTGATTTGTGGTTCAAACGAGACTTGTAAATAGTAATGACTTTGTAATTTAATATAGATGGGCTTCAGTTACTTTAAAGCAAGCAGATCGCAATTGGGGTATAAAGTAACAGTAATAGGAGGGTCTGATCTTCAATCCACCAAGCCTGTGGTGAAGAATTAAATTGCTTGCTTCTTTTTCTCCTATGTTATACATAGGTATCAGAGCAGTGGGGTGCAGTGATTGGAGCCCCTGGATGTATACAAGTGGTAACAAGGATGTATCTTTTGATTTATTTGAAATTTTTTTGTCTTTGGAAGTGTTCTAGATTAAAACCTTATTTTAACTCCCAGGGTATTTTAAGTTAGTCTGTTTCAGCAGTATTACATAGCTTTCTTTAAACTCTACTCAGAGGCCTACTCCGGGTAGTGCTTCTATGGTGGTTATCTTTGATTCAACTGGACATTTCCAAACATATCCCCCTTAATCTTCTTTTTCTCAAATGCTTTTAAAACCAAAGTGTTTTCTAGAGAATTGTTTTGTTCCCCTAAATCTCTGTGTTGTAGTTTTGGCAGCGGAGATGTCTTGTATGTTTGTATAAAGAAAATAAAAGATGTAATGTTTGCCCTGGAGTTCTGCAGACCTGGTGTTCGCGAATAGCAAGTCCTGCCCAGCTGCCTCTTCCCGTTCACACTCCGGAACCTGGTTCTGTCCTGCTGTACCTGCCCATATCCAGGTGTGAGCCAGCTGCCAGGTCAGGCCGTACTTGATTTTGTACAGATTTAATGCTTTTTAAGTATCTGCAAAGTAGAAATGGTAATAAGGAAGAGCCATTCTTTCTTCATTGTGTTTATTTGATTCTCCACAAAATACCAACAGAGCATTGGTGCTGGTGAATTGGAGCTGTTCATTAGAAAGTCTGTCTTTCCATGAGGATTTTCCACTTTATTTCCAGTGTTGTCCTTAAGCCTCTTTTCTCTAAACTGACACTGTTCTGACCTGGAGGATGGAGTAAGAAGGTAAATGCTAAGATAGTAAGAGTAATACCGAGTCAAAGTTTGGCCAGCTGAGAGCTTGCCTTTGTTCATTCACAGGGCAAGCCTGTCTGCTGGAAAGAAAGAACATCACCTAGACAGGTGTAAACCCAGGACAAATTTGTTACAGAGAAGGGAGGTTCTCATGGGGTGGCATGAAGCTAATGATAAACAGGGTTGTTTTGTTTTCTGTAGCAAGATTCTGACAGCTTCCTCCACCTCTCTGCTATTGCTGCAAACTTTTGTCAAGGTCCCTGTTTGGTTTTGGCATGAAAAACCTTGTAGAACCTCCCAAGTTGTGTCAGTGATGGAAGAGTAATAACATTTGCCTGTGAATCAGCCTGCTGGGCTCTGGAGTGAAGAATACCTCCACAGGCAAGGTCTGCAAGAGAGGAGAGACAGGGCAGAGTTCACATACAGAACCTCAAAAAGCACACATTTTAATTAGGTGAGAGCTATCTGCTTCTTCAAAAATAACATCTGTATTTGTACAACGTTTCTCATGGATTAGAATAGTTTTGGTTTAAAGAGTCTGTGAGTATTGACTTGTGAAGGCAAAGACTGGTATGTTACAATTTTCATTTTGTGCTAGGATACAAGATTTCTGACCGCTGGCTATGGGCTGTTGTGCTGGTTTTGACTGGGGTAGAGTTCATTTTCTTCCTAGTAGCCAGTATGGGGCTGTGGTTGGGTTTGTGCTGGAAACAGCTCTGACAGCACAGGGATGTTTTTGTTACCGCTGGGCAGCGCTTACAGAGAGTCAAGGCCTTTCCTGCTCCTCACCCCACCCCGCCAGCGAGGAGCCTGGGGGGGCACATGGAGCCGGGAGGGGGCACAGCCGGGACACCTGAGCCCAACTGACCCACAGGATATTCCAGCCATGGCTGTGTTGTGGAGGTGGAAGGGGATTTGCCATGTGTTGCCAGGAGTTAGTGCCCGAACTGCTTATCTTCTCCCTTGCTGTGACTCCAAATCCATCTTTCACAGCACCACAGGCATTTAATTATTCCTTGGTCACTGCTGACCTCAGTAATTGTCTGGAAAATTTCTGAAAGGAAAAACTATCTTTAAGCCATTTTTAAAAAGTGCTTTCTTACTTCTCCAAGCCTCAGGGACTTTGCTAGCTCTTCCTTAACAGCCTGTTGGGGGAGATGGCATATTTTTGTATAGGAGTATATTTTTGTTGTTTTCACATCAGGGAGATGTGAAATTCTTTTGGCAATGCATTATAAATACGCTGAAGTGGTCCGATTTGTGCCACTTGTTCTTAGAGGAATTTCATGCTTAACTTCTCTTTTCTTCGATAGTAATTGACTATCAACTGTACTTAAATATCCCAAAAATCCAGTGGGACAGAGATCCCCAAATAGCTATGTCATTATTTATGCTGTTAAAAATAGCAGAGTCCTTGTTTAATGTCCGCTAGCTGTACCGAATCATGGGAAGTCATCATCTTCACCGAGGTGCTGACAGGATGAGGGCTCAAGTTTTATTTTGGAAGAATTATTTCTGGTTTAAAAAAAAGTAGAAGCCCTATATTTGAAATAGTTTGTGGGGAATAAATGCCATAGTCTCCATTTAGGACTAACCTGTTTGACACACGGGGCATGTTCCAGGCTAATCAAAGGCTGCAGATACCTGTGCTGCTCCTCAGCTCACTGCTGAAGTCTCTCCTGGTCATGTGCTGAAGCAAACCTTGACCTGCTCCAGGGTCCCTTCATGGTGCTTTTGGCAGACTGCAAGAGGGTACGATCCTGTTCTCTGCTGGCACCTGCACCCTTGCCTTTCACTCTGGCAGCTGGTGACCCGGGGTGGGTTGGCTGCCACCGGCTCTGTCACCGCACGCCTTAGCGGAGCGGTTTGCCTGGTGGTTGCTCTGCACGAGCCCCTCGCACCCTCTCGGTGCTGCTTGCCCTGGCTGGGCCCAGTCGGGAGCTCGGGTGTTTCCTGCTGGCCAAGGGGAGGGAGAATTTGTGTGGGGAGTGCTCTGTCACGCCTCGAACAGTTCTCTGTTCCTGGCGAGGTGAGAGATTCTCATACTTCAGTAAATGTGCTGGGCAGCGGTGGGAAGGTCTGCATCCTCCCCCCAGTTACTGATCGGTATGCAGATGCACAAGTATTGATAACCTCTGTTTTGCATCCGTAATCACAACAGTTATTTCCAGGTACAGGTTATGGGCTTGCTTTTGCCAAATTGTCATATATACAGTGTCAAATTGAAACTTCCCGATGGAGGCATTTTTTATTAAATATAGACTAGGACCTTCAAGCTTGCAGATTTGTCATGTGGTTTAGGAAAGATTCTAGTCAGAGCTCCCACCATGGGCTGAAGATCTCAGCCTCTGTTTTCAGACCTGGCAGTGAAGGAGTAGCCTGAATCCCAGTTAAACATAATCATAAAAGACCTTTAGGATGAGGTCCAACCGTAAACTCACACTGCCAAGTCCACCACTAAACCGTGTCCCTAAGGGCCATGTCTACCTGTCTTAAATACCTCCAGGGATGGTGACTCAGCCACTTCCTGGGCAGCCTGTGCCGATGCTTGACAGCCCTTTTGGAGTTAATGTGTCCAAGGAGATGAATTATCTCATAAACCTAGCAATATGTAAAACATATATACATAACTCATTAACCACAAACAAATCTGCAACTGAAATGATGATGAGCACAAAAGCAACAGATATTAAGGCAAGAAGCACAGGATGAGCAACACTGGTGTATTGGGTTTGCCTGGCAAGGTTTTGGTAGTGGGGGGCTATAGGGGTGGCTCCTGTGAGAAGCTGCCAGAAGCTTCCCTGTGTCCAACAGCCGATGCCGGCCAGCTCCAGGATGAACCTGCTGCTGGCCAGGTGTTTTGCTGATTAGGGATATCAATTAAACTCAGACACCAGAGTGAAAGGAGCGGGTGTATTTTACTAGAAATAATAATATAACAGGATAATACAGAAAACATACAGTAAGAAAAGACAGAATAGTTCACTTAAATAGGAAAATACAGAGTAATGCATCAAATCATTACTACCTGAGAGAGAGAATAGTGATTAAGAAAGATCCATCACCACTTGCATACGTTAACATCATCCAGACCTGCAGCCACTGGGGAGCCCCGCTACAGTGAGGATTTGGAGAACCTTTCCCGGCAAGTGGTAAATCCTGCATGGTATGTCCACCCATAGGTGAGGCATCCAGAGTTGCTGTGAGCCGGTCGAGCCTTATATGACCCAAAATCTGCAAGCCAGAATAGCTGGCATCTTTGTTTTGAGTGGGAAATTTCTGGTTTCATTCTCCTGTTGGATTCCACCCAAAGCTTGGCCAGGACTTGGGAGAAGAGACCAAGGGAGTTTCTAACAAGGCCGAACACTTGGGTTCCCAGCCTTGAATAAGGCTAAACAAGGGAAGTTGAGACATTCTCTCAGCATTTCACCCTCACTACTGTGAGCTGCATCTTTCACTAGTGAGCTTACATACTTTGTTAATGACTACATACTACATCAGCAGCTTCGGTGCAGGGCCTGTTGTTCAGGCTTCAGTACTTCAACGCTTTAGCACTTTTTACATCAGTGTAAGTGGGTTGTTATAACCTAGTATAATACCTACTAGCACAATGGTTATCAGTTATAAAATACAAAGGGTTCATCTATAGGTCAACTCTGCTTGGGCCTGTTGTCCAAGCTTTAGCACTTCACCAAGGCTGAGCCCATCATTGCTGGTGGTAGCAACTCTGGGAGAACAGATTTAAGAAGAGGGGAAAACTGCTGGGCAACAGCAGCCAGAATATGTGAGAGAACCAGCCCTGCAGAGCCCAAGTGAGTGCAGGAGG